CTTCTAATTTAAAAAGTTAATCAAATGTATGCATTACCTTTTAAGTTTCAAAAGTTGCTATCAAAAACCGAGGCGGGTACAAACAAAAAAAATTGTGAAAAATTGAGATCACATAACATAAAAAAACTATGTAAAAATATTATATTTCCTATTAAACCCAGAAGGTATTGAGTGGTTCACGATAAGTTGATTACCCTATAAAAATGTAACACCATAATATAATGTTACGTACTCAGCTACGGAGTGACCACTTCAAATAAAAAAAATTATTATTTTTATTTAAGTTGTGAAATTTAATATGACAATGTATTCTTGGTCAAGCAGAGATGTCGCGGGACTAGGACAATTTTCGAGTTAAAAAACGTTTTCAACTTGTGTTTTCAACCAATACTCTCAGAAAACTCTCGAGAATACTGTTAAACAACCTTGTATAATTATAGAGCTAGCAAGTTCCTAATGTAGAAAAGTTTTCGAAATTAACAAAAAGTTTTAAAAAAATATATTCATTTAGTCATTGGTAGAGCATTTACTATTATAAGAATTAATATGCTTACCAATATCCATAGATCCCCATAAATAATTTGATACTACAGCGTCCAATTGAACTAGAAAAACGCATGTTTTTAAATTGTGTATATTTATGTAATAAGGTTGTAGTTCTTTTAAGGTAAGGTGTTATGTCTATAGCTCTTTTATCTATATATCTATATATATGACAATCATTTTACTCAGCCCTGACAAACTAAATCTCGGGCAACGCCGGGTCCGGACATCTTGTTACGTTATAAAATCATTATCCAACGATTGTATGGACACCATTGTAAGAATGTACCCTAAATTATTTTGTAAGTCTAAAACTACAAGCAAAGTTAAAAAAGCAAAAAATCAACCCCTACTGAATTCAAAAACAGTAAAACCTTTTGAAACATTTTACACAGTAGAATTTGAATTTCATTATTTATTGTAAAATCAACATTCAATTGTCAGAGAAAACGTAAAAAATATATTGCTTTTCAATTTATTAAACATTTTACCTTCGTTTAATTGTTTGAGGATACAGTCTATAATTAAAAAGCAAACAAAAGATGTCAAAAAAAGTAAAATGTGATTGACATATTGTAAAGATAATTTATAGGTAAATATTTATTGGATATACTGACTTGTATGGTTTACGTGCTCTTTAAAGGAATCTAAAAAGAAGTTAAAAGTTAATTTTAAATATTGATGAGAATCCGGAAATTGAGATTTTCTTTAAAAGCGCTATTTATGTTAAGATCGTATGACTGTATAAGTATTAAAAAAATTATAAATATTAATAAAATATAAATCTGTATACCCCTATAAAATATTTGCGATAAAAATAAAATACAACAACAATAACAACATTTTCTTTCTGAATTTAGAATTTTTGAAATCATAAAATCCATAATTCACAGTCCGAAAGCAGTTTATGGTCAAAATCAAGCGATTTTATTATACATTTTAATCAGTAAATTTTACTTAAATACACAGCATTATAGAACTGTTATAGTATTTAAAGATTATAAACATTTTTAATGTTGACCTAAATTTTTTTTAATTCCCGGTTATCAGATTCCCATCGCTAATTTAATTTAAACCGTAATACTTACTTTCTGATAATGCCAAAACATGTCCAAAGACTAATGTCATCAAAACACAAATGTGTTTCATTTTTTCCTGAAGAAAATATAGTAAATTTCTTTCCAGCTTTTTTAAAAAATGTTTATGATGCATGGGTAAATTTTTTTCATATTACCTTAACGCTTAGTTTAAAATGTTTATATATTTAAAAAACAAATATTCAGTACTTTTAAAAAAAAATTTAAGATGCATAGCTGTTAAAACAATCGCTCACGATAATAAGTTTTGTTTTATTTTAGAAAAATAAGATTTTATTAGTTTGACCGAATATCTTTATTAAAAAATTGTATTAACACTTGTATTAACAATGTCTAACTCAAGTTTGATAGTAAAACTTACTTAAAATGATTTTACGCATGCGAAACCAAACCAATTCGAATAGGTTGTTAAACTAAGTTCCAACTTATCGGATGTGGATGTCTTATCGTCTTTTCGTTGTACTTATATTAAATTTTAAAAATTATCATGTAAAATCAAAATATGGTGAACAATGCAAATTATGAAATGTTTGAACGGCTCGCAGTAGAAAAAATTTTTTTCTTTGTACCATATTATATTGTGCAAACAAATATATTTTATTGAATATGCGTCATTGGAATTTTCAATGTTATTTGAACACATTTTGTTATTGGAACCAAATTTTGTTTTGATTATACGCAACAAATGAAGTAAACGAAACCCGTTTGGAAGTATTTTTATTGAATGAAAAAAAATTACAGACGAAAAATATACTTTAATTATTAACGTTCCTCATAGCGTGAAGTATCGCCATATCTCTATAAGAAACAACATTTGTAAAGTCTTTAAATTCGGTTGAAATAAATTAAAAGTCTTTGTTAATATTCATGTCATGTAAAAGGCAAATCATAAAGTATTTTTTACTAATTAGACCTAATTATCTTAGGGCGAGGGATGTATAATTGTGATGTTGCCAGTCCGTACTTAACCGTACTAAATAAATACAAAGTCGCAACAAAAAAAAAATATGGCCCTTGAAGTCTGTTGCCCTGTTGTGTGAATCCCCTTTTACACCTTCGCTAATTGCACTACCGTCAGTCCGCTGTCTACAGGTTCGCATCGAAACGTTAATTTTGAAGTTATTTCATCAATTTTAGTTAATACTGTACTAGGTACCTGTAAGTCTTTCCCCACTATGTACCCCGATACCACCTAGGCCATAGCTGTTCAAACACTCGTTTACGATAGTATGTGTTTTATAAAATGTTACGCACAATATAATACACATAGTATATAAAATACAGTACATATTGTAATGTTTACATTCTTAGCGAATGTACACATAGTATGCATTAGAGCGACTCATATTTTCATGTTTCAAACAGACATTTGGATTATTGCAGCTTAAGTATAATCTTCTGCTTACACAAATGCTAACGATACATTTTATTACGTATTATAAAGGGTTTTCCCAATCGTATTGTATAGTTTCGTTATTGTTTTTTTTTATTGAAAGCACTTTTTCCAAAACGACAGCTACTCTGTAACGTTTTCGGTTTGGTCGTTTGTTTGGTCAACAATTCAAATGTTTGAACTTATGTCTTGAATGACCGTAGAACCCCGACGTTCCAATAATTATAGCGAATAACAATTGTATGCATTTAAGATTATTCTATTAAAGTGGCCTTATGTAAACATTTAAAATTATTACAGTTTATTTTATAACCATTTAACAGAGAATTTTTAATTTTAAAAAAAATTGTTTAAGAAAACACCGGGGATTTTAGAACAAGCTGTTACAACTAAATAATACCTAATTAATTTTTCCAATTTAAACATGTTAATGTATAAATGTATTGATATTATCATTCTTATTGTTGATAATAACTTCTAGAAGGAGGTCTTAATTTCATCTGGTTTTCCTTTTTTTAAATCATTTTTAATTCTAGTTAAATTATCTGTACAAAAACCGAAGATTTGTTTCGTATCGTTTGATAATGTAAGCATAAGACAAACAACTGTTTTTACCAAATATTTTTTAGTGTTTTACAAATACAATTTTAGTATTTGAAATATTTTTTTTTGCTAAACAAGTTGTTTTTTGGCCATGATATCTTGTTTGATTAGTATTGTTTTTAAACGTTTGATTTTGCTTGCTTGAGAGTACCATGTTGTTCAAAATATTATAGCGAATCATATTTGTATAAAATCCAATAAAATTACTAAAACAGATGTTCGAATGATCTACGAATGCATTTTATTCTAGTTAACACATGTTTTATTATCATGTTCATGTTTTATCCGATCTCTTAATTTATTAATTTAACTCAGCTTCATGCTTAAATTTGTCGCAGTTGAAAAAAATAGTACTTTAGGATAATTGTATACATTAATATTCTATCCTAATGTAAAAAGTATCTGTAACAACTGTAAATAAGTGTTTAAGTCAATTTCATTGATTTTACATAGGAGCGCTATTTAACTTTGACCAGCTGCCATAAATCTGGATTTCATTTAAAACATTTGATTTTTTTACGATCCTACATATTGATAAATATCTTAGAGGTACTCAAGTGGTTTCTACCAATAAAAAATAAACCCTGTAAAATCACTGAAAACGACTTACACACTTATTTAAAGTTGTTACTGATATAAGAGTTCACTATCACTATTCAGCTATCACTATTAATAATATGACAGGTAATTATCCAAGTTATGAATTCATTTTTCTTATTATTGTCATGTTATTGTTATGTAACTTAAATAAATAGCTGACAAATACTTTTAACATTTTTTTTAAAAAAATAATAGCTACAATAAAAAAAGATTTTAAAAATTGGGCAAATAAATGTAATATGGGTATATTGTGGATGAAGGCGTTTGAATAAGGCGTTCGCCATAATAGTTTTGATTTTGGAAACAAATTTTACTACTAATTTGTAGTGAGTCTCTTACAGTTACAATATATTACTATCTGAATGAAGAATAAGTAAACAAAACCCGTTTGGATTAATTTTTATTGAATTCAAAGCACTAATAGTATTCGAGGCACGTTGATCGTTGCATAATATTAAAATTATTTTTTGTTAAAGATTGCATGTAATTTAATTGAAATAAATGAATAACTAAAAATAAATTGAAATTCGTGCAACGATCGTTGCCTAACAAATGTTATGAAGAATTCAAATGTTTTTTCAAGACTTGAATCAAAGTGTTATTTACTGGTTTAGTATGACATTACATTATTAGAGTTACACAATTGGGTTTGACACGTTAAACGTATGTTCTCAACTTATGGCGAATTTGTTTTTAGTCTCTTTAACTGATACTCGAAAAAAACAAACATAAATAAAATAAAACTTGTTTTAAATGGTTCCAAGACAATATATTATGTAAATTGTAAATAGCAATTTTAAGGAATGTGTATATCTGCAAGTCTCTTTATAAATATGAGCAGGAACATTTTTGGTCCCACATTTTTCGCCATCCCTTGCCAATCGGCCTCTGGGTGAGTTTTTTGCCTTTTCCATTTTGGCCATCTACTTCGTAGTAGCAGTTATCATCCTCCCACATTCTGTACACGATGACCCGTTCCTGATTCTTGTCGTCAGATTTTTTATATTTAAGACGACAATCATCGTTACCGTTGACTTCGTCGGGTCTGCTATAAAATATGTGTATGTCTGGTTGTGTTACATTTACCAACAACGCTATTAAACGACATCTCTCCCGAACATCAAAATGCGCGGTTTTTGGATCACCTTTAATAACATAATTTTTAAAAATATATAGAGCTGTAACACCGTATTATACATTGTCATGTTCACAAGGACTAGTTAAGCAAGAAGGCGAGCCGACAGTGTGACCACTTTAAATAAATAATTGTTTTACAAGGTGTAAAACACTGCACAGTATATTTCGTATAAACCTACATAGATCAAATGGTTAATTTTAATTCCATATGATACAATACGATAGCATGCACACTGCAGCTCGCTTTTTTGCTAAAGTCATAATATTTTACTTATTGCGACCCTCGGGGTGAAACATACTTTCGACTTCCTCGACTAAACGTGATACAGTTCCCTTAATTTTATTTCTTCTGTCCTCCCCCATACCTGACAAAGTAAGCTGATTCAAGTCTAAAATTATAAAACATAATAACGTGTAAATTAAATGATGAGACATTAGGACATTTTATATTTTGACTGTTCGAGTTTCGATGCGAAGATGAGAAAATATTTAAGTTTCCAATTTGTTTTTTTTTTTCAAATTAATTATGATTTTTTGTGCATTTATATCTATAAGATAACCGTGGATCGACACATCACTTCATATATATTTACTCTATAAATGATAAATCGTACACGGAATCATTGCTGTAGACGAAAATAGAAATAAGTATTCCCCTTCGCATCCGAAACCGGGCAAGATATAAGTGATTTTATAACAGAGTAAATTTGTATATATTACTTATGTTCAGATCACCAGGTTGTATCCCTAAAATAAAAACACATTAATACAATTTAACAGTTATAAATTAGTGTTAGAACTGAGGGGGAGGGACATGGTTGACAGAGTATATATTTCTAAATGATTGCTGTGGACCTAGTTGGTACTTTACTTATCTAACGTTTGTTGGTTTTATGATTTATTTAAATCACATTTTTACCATAAGTACTCATACTGCGCCGTATATGTTCCTCGTCAGCTACCAGACCTGAAATGTTAAACACAAAAAATGTTTTATATTCAGTAACAATGAAGAATATTAATTGCTGCTTTTATGATAACATTGATAATTGTTCCTCGATTCGAATTACATAGATATTTCATACCGTAAACTTAATTTTATATAAATATCTACACTAATAAACTCGCACACAAATACAAATCTATTAGCACAAATTTAAATTTACCCTGTAATATTTAATTATTTGAAAATTGTAACATTACAATTATTTGAATGAACGTTAATCACACACGCTGAAGATTCCCAACTTAAAAATCCCCTACCGTAACCATTAACTAGTTAACTCTACACAACTTCTATATCATTTCTCTGATGCTAGGCAAGAACTTTGGCAACTTTACTAGGTTATGTAGGAAACGGATTTTAGATTTTAGACAAAACTCCTTAAAAACGGACCGCGTGCAATTTCTATAAGGACTTTATGACAATACATATTATTAAAAAATATTGGTTGTAAAATATAAAAAACTCATTACTATCTGGATAATTAATTTCTCCGTCCTTGTAGACAGACGCTGAAATATAACGTATATAATTATTAAAAGTAGAAATCGGTCTTATTCGTTACAAATAAATTTTAAAAAAATTATAATTTATAATGTCTGAGGCATAATACTTGGCGCGGCAAAAATCGAAGTCACCCTCTCTGAAATGTAAAAAAATTTATCGGTAAACGTGATTGGCTATTTACTCGACATTGTTATAAGGCAGGAGTCGATAAAGTCAAGTCGTAGAGTAAATATATTTAGAGCTGTAACATAATTTAATGTCCTGAATAGTAAGCAACGCTATTAAATGTCGTATCTGCTGAATTTACAACTTCGAATTTTCGGGTTTATTTTTGAAAAAAATTTTTTACACAAATCAATATAATGGAAAATTGTACAGGGGGGGGCAGCTGTGGGTAACATCATACAGATACAAATTATGAAATGCATGCGTTACCATTTAAGTTTCCAAAGTTGCTATTAAAAAAGCAAGTTAAGAGGGGGGTAAAAACAAAAAAAAATGTGAGAAATTGAGATCACGATGCATAAAAAACACTATTTAAAGAACAAATTTAATTTCTTATTAAACCTAGTGAGATATTGAATGGTTCCCGATCATCCTGTAGAATTGTAACACCATAAAATAATGTCATGTTCTCAGCTACGGAGTAATCAAGAAGGCACGCAACAGTGTACCACTTCAGAAAAAAATTGATTTTTTTTGTGAAATTTAATATGTTAATGTATCGCATAGTTGCTGTAGTGAAACAAATTAAAAATTGATACAAGAAAAATGTAATTTCGTCATTCTGATCAAACTACAGCGCGCCTTTTTGCTAAGTTCGAACATAGATGTCGCAGTTCTAGGACAATTTTTGAGTTAGAAAACTTTTCAACTTCTGTTTTAAACTAATATTCTCAGAAAACACTAGAGAATTCTGTTTAAACAACCTTATATATTTATAGACACAGCACGATTCCTAAGTTCCTAATGTAGAAAAGTTGTCGGAAGTAAAAATAAGCTAAGAAAAAATATTATTAATTTAGTCGTTTGTAGCGCGTTTACTATTAGAAGAATTAGTATCCTTACCGATATCAATAGAATCCCACATAAAATATGTAATAATTGATGTTATTGGATCTAGAAAAACACATGTTTTTAAATGTGTATATTTATGTTGTAAGGTTGTAGCTCTTTCATCACGTTATAAAATAATTTTCCAATGATTGTACCACCGCAATTTTAAAAATGAATCTTAATTTTTTTTTAAGTTTAAAAACTACAAAAAATGAGGAAATTGAGCAAAAAATCAACCCCTGTAGAATTCAAAAGCAGTATAACCTTTTGAAATATTTTATACAGTAGAATTTGCATTTCATTATTTATTATAAAATCAACATTCAATTGTCAGAGAAAACGTAAAAAAAATATTGTTTTTCGATTTATTAAATATTTTACCTCCGTTTAATTGTTTGAGGATACTGTCTATAATTAAAAAGCAAACCAAAGATGTAAAAAAATAAGGAAAACTTAATTGACATGTTGTAAATATATTTTACAGATAAATAATTATTGGATATACTGACTTGTATGGTTTACGTGCCGTTTAAAGTCATCTAAAAAAAAAAATTAGTTTAAGCTACTGATGAGAATCCAGAAATTGGGATTTTAAACTATTGCAAAATTATTTAATAATAATAAAATATAAATCTGTGTACCCACGTTAAATTTTTGCGATTAAAATGTAACAATAAAACTCAACAACAATAAGAAAATTTTCTTTCTGAATTTAGATTTGGTGAATTCATAATGCCCGTATCTCATAATCCGAAAGCAATTTACAGTCAAAATTAAGCGTTTTTTTTATTCATTTTCATCAATAAATTTTACTTAAATACACAGATTTAAACTGTAATAGTATTTAAAGATTATACAATTTTTAAGTTGACCTCAATTTTTTTAATCCCGGATTATCCCATCACTAATTTAATTTAAACCTCCGGTACTTCAGAAAACCGCAATACTTACTTTCTGATAATGCCAAAACATGTCCAAAGACTAATGTCATCAAAACACAAAATTGATTCATTTTTTCCTGAGAAAATATAATAAATTTATCTTACAGTTGCAAATGGATTATTTATTTATTTGACCACTATGATCCTTAAGGACTTATAAACAACACTAAAATATCAGTGATTATGAAATCTAAACTGACAGTAGTCTCATGACATTAAATTATAATTTTTGAGAACCACTGGATCTACCTTCTAAAAAATTGTTTAAATTATTATTTTGTTTTTTTTTCATATTAGCTTAACGCTTAGTTTAAAACGATTATACAATTTAAAGTAAATTATTCAGTATTATTTAATTGATTTTTAAAAAAATTGTATGGTGCATAGGCCATAGCTATTCAAACAATCGTTTACGATTAAAAAAAATACTAAAATATCAAAGATTATGAATTCTAAATTGATTTCTATGTAAATAAGTCTAAAACACGTTTAAAAAACACAGTAGTCCCATGACTTTAAATTATAATTTTTGTAAACCATTTTATCTAAAATTAATTTAACTAGTTTTTTATACTACCCTCTTAAAAAACGGTTTAAATTAATATTTTGTTTTATTTTCATATTAGCTTAACGCTTAGTTTAAAATGATTATACTTTTTAAAGTAAAATATTTAGTATTTTTTAGAAGATCTTTAATATTTTTTTTATAACACAAAGGCTATAGCTGTTCAAACAATCGTTTACGATAATATGTACTACAAAATGTTACGCATAACACATTATTTATCTACACTGAGACGAGGTACAAAAAGTACATTCAACAGCTTTTCCAAAACGCCAGCTGCTGTGAAACGTTTTTGGCTTAGTCATTTGTTTAGGCAACTATTCAAATGTTTGAACTGATGTTTTGCATAACCGTAGAACCCCGACGTTCCAATAACTATAGCGAATAGCTATTTTGTACATTGAATATACAATATTATTTTATTAATTCATCCTTATGTTAACATTTATAATTATTACATTTCATTTTTAACCATTAACCAGACAAAAAAAGTCGTTTAAGAAATAACGGGTATTTTCGACCATGCTGTCAACTATTAAGTATCAATGATTATGGATTCAAAATAGACTTTTATGTCAAAAAGTCTGAAACACAATATCTAAACACACAGTAGCCACTTGGTCAAAAATTGTTTAAACTAATATTTTTCTAAAAAAAAAATAATCGTCTAAAGCAAAGTTTTTGGCCCAGTTATTATTTTATTTTTTAAGATTTTATTAGTTTGAGCGAATAACTTTATATACAATTTATTAACACTTAAAAAAAAAAAACATCTTAAAAACAGTTTTAATTAAAATATATATTTTTTTTAATTATGAATTTTACCCGAAAAATATTTGTACCATTGATAATTTGTGTTACGCTGTCTTATAGCCTTTGATTATAATTATAACATTTTATCAAAACATTAGCCTATAAATTATGGTAATAATAATTACCTAAACAATATTAAAAAAAAACTTATAGTGAATGACTTACTAAGGTTTGATAGTAAAACTTACTTAAAACGATTTTAATCGTGCTTACGAAACCAAACCAATTCGAATAGATTGTTAAACTAAGTTCCAACTTATCGGATGAAGAAGTCTTTTGGTTTTTCGTTGTATTTATATTAAACTTTAAACGTTATCGTGTAAAACCGAAATACGGTGAACTACCTATGCAAGTTACGAATTGTTTAAACGGTTTGCAGTAAAAAACAATTGTTTTTTGATACCACATATTGTGCAAACATAAATATATTTTTATTGAAAATGCGTCAGTTGAATTTACAAGATTATTTGAACACGTTTTGTTATTGGAACCAAATTTTGTTTTGATTATACCCAACAACTTTGAAAATCTTGACTAGATTCCGTTAAACTTACAACATATCATTGTTTGAATGAACTAAACGAAACCCGTCAGGAAGTATTTTTATTGATATACTTGAAATATACTTTAACTATTAACGTTCCTCAAAGCGTGGAGTATCGTCAGGGGGTTATCACTCCACACAAGCTGTGTATGGTCTTTTCTCTATTAGTTATATATTAACTGTTACAAGATAACTTTTTTAGATTCTATTATTTAGGTTAAAATAAATAAACCACGGTACTCGAGCGAATGATGATTAGTTTTATGTTGTGGTCAAAAGTTTTTTTGTAGTTTTCTAATACTTGGCCTTAATCAATCATGCCTTTTAAAATCTGGTGCCCCATTGTATGTACCGGGTTACACCTTCGCTAATTGCATCACTGTCAGTCCACTGTCTACAGATTCAAATCGAAACGTTTATTTTAAAGTTATTTCATCATTTTTAGTTATAATACTCGAACTACGGTACTACCTGTAAGTCCTTCCCCACTTAACCCTGATACAACTTAGGCCATAGCTGTTCAAACAATCGTTTACGATAATGTGTTTTATAAAATGTTTTATATAAATGATTGAACTAATGTCTTGCATGACCGTAGAACCCCGACGATCCAATAATTATAGCGAATAGCTATTTTGTACATTTAATATACAATATTATTCTATTAAATTGTCCTTATGTAAACATTTAAAATGATAACATTTCTTTTTCAACTATTAACCAGATAGTTTTTAATTAAAATAAAGTCGTTTAAGAAAATACCGGCAATTTAAGAACAATCTGTTACAACTAAATAATACCTAATTAATTTTTCCAATTTAAACATGTTAATGTATACATTTATTGTTATTATCATTCTTATTGTTGATAATAACTTCTAGAAGGAGGTCTTAATTTCATCTGGTTTTTCAAAAACCGAAGATACATATTGTATCGTTTTAATATTTGAAATAAATGTTTTATGCTAAACAAGTTGTATTTTGGCCATATTATCTTGTATTAATATTTTTGAACGTTTGCATTTGCTTGCTTGATAGTACCATGTTGTTCAAAATATTATAGCGAATCATATTTAGTATAAAATCCTATAATAATACTAAAACAGATGTTCATCTACGAATGTATTTTATTCTAGTTAACAAATGTTTTATTATCGTGTTCATATTTTATCCGATCTCTTAATTTATTAATTTAACTCAGCTTCATGCTTAAATTTGTCGCTGTTGAAAAATTAATACTTTTTATACAATCAAATTAAATTTAATATTAAGTATAAATTATAAATGTTTACATTAGGATAATTTAATACAATAATATTCTATCCTAATGTAAAAAATAGATTTAAGATATAATAGTTCACGTTTATAATGTTTCGGTCACTTTTATGGATTTTTCATTTCAAAACAAAGTTTTAATAAATATTATTTTTACACATGTTTTAAGTGTATGTTAGACCTATCTCCAAACTGATTTCCAACTCTTAAGCTGATGGGGGGGGGGGGGTCGGGTATATGTCGAAATTATGATTTGAAGCAATGTGCTTATAGAACCATGCCTAACCAATATTCTATATAAATTTCTACTGGATCCGACCGGTTTTCGCGAAGTACCAATCGCTTACGATTTTCGATCTACGAGGTGCTACTTGAGTAAAAAGGAAAAAAAGTCATTGTGAGTTGAGACAAAAAAAAAACACAACTGTATAGTATTCTGTAATAATATGACATAATCCAATTTCTGAATTTATTTTTCTTGCAAATTTTGGGGACGCTATCTCTGAATCATTTATAGGCATACGAATAAAGCTTGTATAAGCAAACAAATATAGTTAGTGTAATACGATTGTTTGAACCTAAACCTGACATTGAATTTATCAGTCTTCAACCACTAGATTATTGGTCTATGATCTTTAGTAGTGACAGCGTATAAAAAATGGACAATGAATATGTAATGGGAGTCATTGAATCAACACAGCTTATATTACAACACGGGCTATAGGTATTTCGCACATATTTCAAAAATCTGTTATGGAAAAAGTATGGGGGACACACCACAAGTTCCATAACAATGTATAATTGTTATTTAACTTAAAGAAATAAGTGTCAAATACTTTTAAAATTAATTTAAAGATTTAACAATTACAATAAAAATTATATATCGAGAATTGGGTGAACAAATGTAATATGGGTGTATTGTGGCCGAAGGCGTTTGTAATAGTTTTTGGTCAACAACGTTGGAACACAATATTTGAACGGCTCGAAGTAAATGGTTTTTGTTTTTTTAAATACCATATGTTGGGCACACTTAAATATTTTTTACTGAAAATATGATATTCGAATTTACAACATTATTTGAACACATTTTGTTTTTGAGTATTAGAATATTATTAAAATTTTTCAAGGCGCCGATTGTTAAAATTATTTTTTGTTAATTAATTATTTCAGTTAAAACAAATTAAAAATTGCATAAAATAAAAACATAACTAAAAATAAATTGAAATTGTACAACGAACGATGCCTAACAAATGTTATGAGGAATTCATTTTTTCATAAATTGTATATGGCATATTAAAGAAATTTTAACAAATGCGTATATCTACAAGGTCTCTTTACATAAGTGTGCAACAACACTTTTGTTCCAGTCTCGGGGTGAGTTTGGGGCCTTTTTCATTTCGGTTGTATACTTCATAGTAGTATCCATCCTCCCACATTCTGTACACGATGTCCCGTTGCTGTTTCTTGTCTTTAGATTTATTATACTTAAGACGACAATTATTGTTACCGTTGAATTCAAAGGAATCGCTATAAAAGATGTGTATGTCTGGTCGTCGTACATTTACGAACAACGCTACTAAACGACATCTCTGCGGTTCACCAAAAGCCCGGGATTGAATATAACCTTTGAAAACATAATTTTTAAAAATATATAGAGCTGTATGTCATGTTCTCAACGACTAATTTAGCAACAAGGCGAGGCGACAGTGTGACTACTTTTGAATAAAAATATGTATTTCTATTAAAACGTCTGAAACGCTGCAAAGTATTATTCTTTTAACCTATACAGATCTATAGAATAATTCAAATTCCATATTATGATATAATACGGATGGTATGACATCTGACAAGTATTTTTCATCACAAGGTTTCAGTAGTGAAGCAAATTAACAATTAGTAGCAGACAATTAATGTAGTTTCGTCATTCTAAACACACTGCAGCTCGCTTTTTTGCTTGAATCATAATATTTTACTTATTGCGACCCTCTGGGCTAAACATACCTTCGACTGCCTCGAGTAAATACAATACAGGTCCCTTAATTCTATTTCTTCTGTCCTTTCCCATATCTGACAAAGTAATCTGCCCCGAGTCTGAAATTATAAAACATAATAACATTTAAATAACGATGAGACGTTAGGAAAAGTTTTATTTTTAGACTGTTCGAGTTTCGAAGCCAAGGTTAGAAGATTTAGATTCCAATGTCCAATTTTTCAAATGCTTTTTTATGTATTTGGATATATAAGATAACCGTGGACCTACACTTCGCTTGATATAATATATTCACTCTATAAATGATAAATCGCATACAAGGAACATTGCTGTGGACGAAAATAGAAAAAAATTCTCACCTTCGCATCCGAAACCGGGCAAAATATAAGTGATTCCATAACTGAGTTAATTTGTATATATTACCTATGTTCAGTTCACCAGGTTCTAGCTCTAAAATACATAACACATTAATAAAAATTAAACAATTATAAAACAGTGTTCGAATTTATGGGGAGGGACATGGGTGACAAAGTATCCTTAGAGTATATAATTCTAAAAAATTGCAGAGGACCTAGCTGGTACATTACCAATCTAACGTTTGTTGGTTATATAATTTATTTGGATCACATTTTTACTATTATCACTTATTCTTGTCACACGGTCCAATATATTTTCCTCGTTAGCTCTGAGATCTGAAATTTAAAACACGATAAACTCTTAAAGTTTTTTATGTTCAGTAATTTTGAAAAATATTGATTCCTGCTGTTATGATTACATAGCTATTTAATACCATAAACTTAATTTAACAATAATTTATTTATAAATATCTATACTTTATAATATATTCACACACAGATACAAATGTATTAGCACAAATATAAACACTCACTGAAGATTTCCTCTTTAAAAAATCCCCCATCATAACCATTTACTTGGTAACTTCTATATAAATTCTCTAACGCTGTGCAAGTTCTTTGACAAATTTACTAGTTTATGTAGAAAACGGATTTTAGAGTTTAGACAAAACTCTTTAAGACCGGACTACATGCAATAGTTCCTATAAGGACTTTATGACAATACGTTAAATATTTACCATTTGGATATTGCCCATCTCCATCCTTGAAAACGGACGCTGAAATATCAACGTATGTAATTATTAAAAATGAAAATCGGTCTTATTTGTTACAGATCAATTTTTAAAAAATAATTATTTATAATGTCTCAGGCATAATACTTGGCGCGGCCAAAAGCGAAGTCACTGTCTCTGAAATGTATAAAAATGTATCGGTAAACGAAATTGGCTATTTACTCGACATTGGTATGAATAAGACAGGAGTCGATGAAGCCTATTCATAGAGAAAATATATATATATGGCTGTAACATCATTTAATGTCCTGAATAGTGAGCAATGCTATTAAAACGACGTGTCTGCAAAATGTACAACTAAATTTTCGGGTTTGTGCTTAAAAAAATAATTTTTACACTAATCAATATAATGGAAAAATTGACACGTCGGCTGCCATTGGTAATCTAACAGA